TTTTTACAAAATATTAGTAGGGTGCTGTTACCTAAATGCACATTGAGAAGAAGCACAAAACGGAGTCAAGTGACATTTCAGGCGTTTCAGTCCCAGGTCACGTCTTGAGAAAATTGCTGAAATAATAGAGGGGGCATTTTTCAAGCAGAGCTGCAGCTCCAACAGCTATGTTTACTTTAACGCTTCACTAGTGACTTCTGATTGGTTGTCATGACCTCATCTCACTGTTGCACCTAGGATGTTGCAACAGCGACATATACATACCCTTCTTGTGAGAAAGATGAGAATAAATACAGCATACATCTTTCAGAAAAGATGAATGGACAGTGGTTTGTCCATGGGTAGATGTAGTTTGTAGATAAAACATTTTGGGTTTCATTTCCCTTGAGGAAGAGCACCTGTCTTCTTTCAAGCCAGGCAGAATGCTGAACTTGAGAAATATGATTGATAAATTTGTGTAAAATGATGTCTTACAGAACCTTGCCTGAAGACCAAAACAGTTCCACAGGTCAAAAGATTCTACTATGACCCCTGACCTCTCTGGTCACATGTGGCTTGCAGTATTGGCAGGTTAATATGCAGAGCTGAGTACTTTCAGCTGATTTTTTATTTAGTCAACCACAAGATATTTGAAAAGATGTAGAATTTCTTCCTGTTTTCCATTTTTTAAATAATTGATGGTTAGTAGGCAAATTAACTGGGGTAATCTTCAGTTTTAGCAAAGTTATGTTTGGGACTAAAGCACAGTTTTGTTTTGGTCAGGCATTTAAAAACTTTACAAATCATCTATTTGCAAAATCATCTTGAAAAGTGCATATCTATACTGATTGAATTTCTCTAACAAGATTTTTCTTTGTGGTTCTCTGTGTTTGGCATCACCTGTCTGTTGTAGACCTCCCTGACCTAAGCCATCATTTGTTGATTGAATGATAAATGAACTATTATTTATTAGTAAGTGCCTCTATAGACTTCAAAGTAAAGAAGCTTGGAGGCCTGTGTATTCTATTTAAATCACATGTACTTGTGCTGAATAAAATGCTATGTCTAGCAATGAACTTTTGAGTGTTTCTGATTAAGATTCCACAGCTTATACCCTATAAACACAAGTCTAAAATTGAAGATAGAGTTATAGCTACAAAAGTATGGAAAATGGAATTAGATGAATTAAAGAGATAAAGCTTACTTTTATCAATATCTGTCCTCATGATCAACTTCTTGATCTACTAGACTGTGTGATCAAACATAAGAGTTAATTAACAACATTATGTATGCTTTGTCTCTTGAAATGTTGGTTATTGGAATTGATTTGGTAAATCATTTAAAAAGATGCCAGAGGTTTTATTTATTTAGTTGTAGAATGTTAGATAATCAGTTTCGTCACTTTATCTTTTTAAAGAAAACAGAAGAGGTTTCCATGTATTTTTTGAAATGACCTCTTTCCATCTTACAAGAAATATAGCATGCAAGGAATAATTAAATATAAAAGGAACACTTTCATACAAAATGTTTAAGACTCTAAGCCTAAGCATAACCTTTTTTTAATTAGAGTGGCAGTACACAGCTCTTTTAAGATATAAACTTGATACCTGATTTTATAGTATAATTTTGTAAAACTTTATGGCTTTATTCGTTAAAGGTCATGCTAGTATCTCTTTTTACTTAATTTGTTGTGTACTGATTGAGTTACTGGGAATAGAAAGAATCACCTTTAAAATAGTATTTATTCTTATTTTTGAAGAAGTATGTTGATATCATTCAATTTAAAACAGTTATATTTAACTACTGATATTTTGTCTCTGCTTCATTTAACTTTATTTGCTTTGACTCCTTAGTTTCCATTTATTAATGTTGACATGGCAAAAATCTTAGTAGCTTCTATAAAGGGACTTTTGGCACTGTTATTCATGACAGAGAAAATAAGGAAAACATGAAGCTTTGCTATGTATCTGTGGTTCAAACTCGTAGGTGGGATAGTTAACTTTATTTTGTTGCTCCTGCTTTCTCCTACTCATAAAATGGTTATGATTAGTCTCTGTGAATATTGCATTAATTAATTTATCAGGAAAACTTTCATTGAAAATGTTAGTTTTTTACAGAATAATAATTGAATTTGTAACAAAGACATTTATTAAAATCAGCTCTCATTTCCACAGAAAATGTTCCTGAATATTTCTTGATTGTGCTATGATAATTAAATTGGCAGTCCAACATATCTAAAGGCTAAAATATTTTCTAAATACTTCAGGTGTTTGAAGAGAAACATTTATTGTTGAAATCTAAATAATAAAAATTCTTTAATTGATTTCTATAATGGTGATTTTAAAATAGAATCCTTTTTCATTATCTGTTGATGCCTAAGTGAAAAATTGACATTGTGCCTTTATAATATTGAACAAATGAGTCATGTAATTTTCAGTTACATAATCAATAACTTAGACAAATTCTACTCTTTGATGATTTTTTTTAATACTTTTTTAGATGGGATACTTCACATTTCAGAGTATTTAAAATCAAATAGGAACAACAATTTTCAATCTATGATTTCTAAAAACTGAAGTTACAAAGATATTATTGTAGTGATTAAGTAGTTAGGATAATAGTTTCATAATTCTAGTGACTGTAAATTTTGTTCAGAGGATATACCTTTACTTGAAATTCATCATTGTGCAAAGATGAAATCATGTTATATCAATTTAACTACAGTCTTACTTTGTGACTTTGAGTTTGAAATTTTTCATGTTAGCATTAAAATGTAGTGTATCACTATTTTCATCTCTAAGAATTATAAGATTATGTTTTGGGTTTGCTAATTCTAACTCCTGTCTAAGTATGAGAGAGAGAGAGAGAGAGAGAGTGAGAGAGTGTGTGTGTGTGTGTATGTGTATGTGTGTGTGTGTGTATGTGTGTTTAAAGTTCAATTCACTCAGAGAAGGCAGGGAAGAAACATGACAGGAGACCACTTACTCATGGTACAGAATCTAGTAAGGAGGCAATTTTCTTTTTGGCCTATGGTGACCTTTTTTGACTATGTTCCTTATACAGAGACAGTGTACTGAATGCCTCTATTTCACCCTGTTTAGCAGAGTGCAACAGTGTTCTTTAACTTACTTTTGGTGGGAGGAGAAGTTATGGCTGAAATTTGAGAAGGGCGTGAAAAGTTGTAAGAGGCACAAGGAAGAGGGGTAGGAACTTCCTTCAAATGTGATTTTAATAACTAGTCAAGTGTGTCCAACTGTAGAAAATCACCAAGTGACAATCTGTCTACCTGACAGTGATCACAATGAATTACAAGACTTTTGAATAGCTATACAGATTAGAATAAAGCAGAACCAAATAAAATATCTTTTGTTGGTAAAACTTTTGACTTACCAGCTAAAAAAGCTTTTAAAAAAAATCTTGTCTTGTTCTTTGATGTAGAATGTTTAAATTAAATTTGAATACGTTTTATAAGACTTTTGTGAAGGAGGCATTTATCTAAAAGTTTTATTTGACCATCTGTTGAGGAATGTGTGCTACTTTGTTCATCAGTTTATTATATACTACTGTATAGTTTTCACATATATAAGGCAAATATATCTTAATAGTCCCATCTCTAAAATCAGACCTTCAATGACCTTGAAAATTTCCAAACCAAATCGTGGTTTTAGATCATAGTATCATCTGATTGGAAGGAAAAAAAATTAACACAATCCCAGTGAAGTTTGTAAGTAGTTTGTGAAATAAACTGCAAACAAAACCCAATCATGTGCAACAAGTTAACTGATTTAAAAGTAAGATAATTAAGCCTATACTAATATTAGTTTATTATTATTGCTATCTGTTTTTAAAAATCATATTCTTATGGTTGGTTTGGCAAAAAAGAAGTAAAATTTAGACTTCTAATAAATATTATACATTTACAGTTTGAAAAAATATACATAGTTTTTTAAGTATGAGATTTTATAAACTTTATTTTCTATAGCTCTTATATTTTTATTATAATGTAATGCATCTTTTAAAAATGAACTTACAGTATTTTACAAGGATGTAATTGCAACATCCACAATACAGAATTGAATAGAGAAGACAAGATATATAAGCTTCAAAAATTTGTGGTACAGATACTTGTCTCTGGTTATTGTTTCTCCTCTGTTTTCTCATGATTGAGTTATTTTATTAGATATAATACAAATATCAAAATTTTTCTAAATTATAGCTATAGAAATGCTTGCATTGCTAGAAATAAATCAGACAAACTTAAAAAAAATCATAATGACTCAACAAGCTGTGTTTGTTTTGTGACTTTGTTTTCTGGTCCTAGTTTTTAATAAAGAAAAATTGATATGGTAGTTTGAATAAATGAAAGAAATTACAAGATTAAAGAGTTACTTTTCATGCATTGTAGTAAGACATTAGCTTATTTTGTTTTATGATTTGTCTGACCTCCTGAAGGAAAAGTGGTGAATACACATCAAGGTGCATAGGTAGATATTATATGCTTATGATAGCACAGATATAAATTTTTGGAATGTTAGATCAGATTTATTCTTTTTGAATTATTTATTTTTTTAACTGTTCAAACAAATCAGAAATGTTAGTTAAAGGGCAATTATTAAAAAAATCCAAGAAAGTGTAGTTTGAATTGTAAACTTCAATTTCAAAGAGGTTATTTTATCAAAATATTTACTATAAATATTAATGTAGTTTGAAAGTGTATTATTTCAATCGCTTTTGGGATTTAGGGAGATCGAATTATGTTTTTAAATTAAGCTTTATAGTTTTTATATTGCAGTTTTTTTGTTCTTTTATAGATAATATATACTTATTTACATCTACAATAAAGGCAAACAACTTTAAATGACTTTCTTTTGGGAAAGTTAAAACCATAATCATGCCCAAAGAAATATTTCAGTGAATATGCAATTATATTAAGTTACTTAGTCTTAGATGTTGCAAACTTTTTTGTAAATAGAAATGGATTCTAAGATTAAATTGCGCCACTTTCTTTCATTTCAAAACAGGAAGGATATGGAGTAATAGTACTGAATCCCAATGAAAACTATATTGAAGTAGAAAAGCCGAAGATACAAGTACAGTCATCTTCTGATAGTTCAGATGAACCAGCAGAAAAACGGGAAAGAAAAGATAAAGTTTCTAAAGAAACAAAGAAGCGACGTGATTTCTATGAGAAGTATCGTAACCCCCAAAGAGAAAAAGAAATGATGCAATTATATATTAGAGTAAGTGAGATCACTTTCCTTCATTATTTCCTTTACCTTATTTATATTTTATGTAAATTATTTTATTTTTTAAAGAAACTATTAATTTTCAGTTATTTATGTTTTCATGGTTTTCTACTTTGATGAAATATTTTCTGCTTTTTTTTCAAAATTACAAAGTACATCCTTCTTATCTCAGTGTGACATTTTATAGAAGTCTCAAATGCAAATGCTATTTCCTTCTGTGTTACATACTACTTCAAGGGAAATTTTCAAAAATAATTTTACTATGGTACATGGAAAGGAAATAAAATTTTGTAATTCAGCTGCTAAATATGCTGTTTCTTTAAAGTATTATGCTGTTATGTTGTCCATAAGTGAGAGTACATGTAACCTGATAATTCTAAGGCATGTTACCTGATGAATTAATAATGTACTGTACTGTACAAAACATTCTTCATCTTGGGTGGTAAGTTTGAGTGCATTGTTTTCCTAAGAGCAATCATCCATCCACGATGTCTCAGCCTAACTTCTGAAGGCAGAGAGAAGGAGGAAGAGTAATTAATATCTTAATAAATATTTAAGCTAAAATAGTTCAGGGAGAGTGTAATGAGCAAGCTCTGTCCTTTGCTCTTGTCCTACCCAGCGAACCTTTGCACTCTGTGGTGTAGCCGTATGGGATTGTTACAGCAGTGCTGCCCAAGGATTTCTATTTCTGTAGAGGACATAAACAATTTTATCTGGACTTGGACATATTCTGTTTGATATTCATACTGTGGATTATATATATATATGAGACATTTGTGCAATTTTCAAAGCCCTTATTATGGATGCCAGAAGTTTAATTTAATAGTAAAGCATGTCAAAAATGCTACTGGGTAAGAAAATTGAAATGTTCCTCAAATGTGAGCAATTCAACATTTAAACGTAAAGAAATTAACATTTTAGAAATTACACTGTAGGATAATAGTAACATTTCATTATTCAACTTGAGCTATTTTTACATTTACTTTGATAAAGTATTTTAAACCACGTTTTAGGGGAAACACATTGCTTTCTAAGTTTTTATTTTCTGTATTATACTTTTAGTTCATGGCATGATCACTCTACTTTTTGAACTTGTACTTCAAACATTCAAGACATTTCATTATAGGTCATTCTAATGTTTAAGTTATGGCAGTTAAGCAGTAGTGAAAGCATAATTTTCAAAATGTATGAAAAATGTTTCAATATCTAAAAAATGTATCCTGACCAAGAAATGCCCAAAGCACTTCATATAGTGAGGCAAGCAAAAGTTAGGCAGATTATGAGTATTAAAATTTCTGAAAATCATCCCACTATTTAATATGTTATTTGAAAAACAAAAATAATGATTAGATTTAGAATCAAGACGTAACTTGTCTGATCCAGTGTAATTATCTTACCCCCTTTCTTTTGTATGATTGCTTCAGGGTCATGGTGCTACCTTCTCTCTCTGTTGTCCTAAATTTTCTTCTATATGGTCCAGTCTGTCAACCACCATCTTATGACAGAGTTGCATTTTAAAAAATTACCTTTGATGTCTAGATTCCAGAAATGAATTGTATAAGGTTTTTAAAAGATACAAATTGCAAAGAGTATTTGTTTATCTGTGTAAAATGCAAACAAAAAGTGATTTTGTGTATGAAGTTTTTTATTTTGTCTTAAACAATTTATTGTATTTGCCTTATGTACAGATTAAGCATTTATAGCAGATATCTGTCCCATAGGTTATTTCTTCCTTTTTATTTTCACTTTATCTTGTCACCATTGCTTTGATTTTTTTCTTTTGTTCTCTTTTATGTGTATATTTTCTTTATTCTGTTTTGCATATCTGCTTTGTTTATCCCTGCATCTAGTTTTTCTTAAAGGTAGGGAAAAACAGTCTTTTTATGTGGCTTTGTTGTTAAGACCTACTCTCTTTCCTTTTGTTTCTTTTTCTTTAATTCTCCTCCCTCTTTTACATTCCTGTTCTTTTTACTTCTTTTCCATGAGCCTTTTTGCTTCTTTCTTTCTTGTCTCATTTTGCTCATCAATCCAAGTTCCCATCAAAAGCACTGAAGATAAAAATGGGTTCACATAGATACACAACTTTGTATCTGATAGTGTTAGTTATGAAATTTTTTTCTTAATAAATATACTTTCTTTTCAACTTTTCTGCAAAACATCAGAGATATTTTGTACTGGTGCTCTTCAAACATACTTCTGGATAGTAAGGCTGGGTCCTGTAGTGGGAAAGAGAAGAGTAGTTCATTTTGTGTAAGGCACATAAATTCTTAAGTAATTTTGTGCAATCAGGAAACAATTTCACTTTCTTTTACATATCTGCTTTCTTTTACATATCTACAAATAAGAGAAGCATTTGTCATTTTTAGATACGAAGCATGGTATGTTATGGAGCTAAATTAACTTTTATTTATATAGTTCTTAACCATTTACATTTTGAAATTAACATGTATTTTCTGTGAAGCCTAATAGCTAGGCTGATCATATTATTTTATCCTTATTTCATAGTTAAGGAAAATGATGCACAGATGATTATCTAGGATCCCAAAACTAGTAAATGGCAGAACTAAGTGTTGAAACCAGGACTTCTAATTACTGTAGATCCTTGCCCCCCCTTTCCTCTTTACTACATTGCTGTATAGGTTGACAATAAAATGTGTATCCAAAATATGAAAATTAAACCTTATATTGTAAGAGTATTATGTGATATAGTAAACTATATCTGATGACAAAAATAGATATTTGGCTAGTTATTATTTAGTAGACATTATTAAACATTTATACACAACATATATATATTCTCTTTTAATAGTGTCACTAATATTGATCCAAATTTAGAGATGAGGAGATGGTGGGTCAAAAACTTACAGCTTTTGGAGGGCTACAGCTGAGTCTGCAGACGTTGTGCCAGGAACACAAGCTATCCCATCCCCTCCTCTGCCACTTTCCATTGCTCCTAATAAAGGTCATTTGTACTATAACAAAAACAAAAACAAAAGCTTTTATTATTTCCCCAAAGTCACATGCTCTTGATGTAAGCTTTATGAGGGCAGAGACTTAGTCTGTTTTGCTTACTGCTCTATCCCCCAGAGCCTAGAACAGAACCTTCATAATAAATATATGTAGAACAGAACAGTCACAATAAATTTTAAATAAGGTGGTGGAGCCAGGGTTAGAATCCCAAACTACTACTTTGTTTTAATATATGTCCTGCTTTATTAAAGTATGCTATTTGATTTTCTATGAGGAAACATTTAAACAAGTCAAAACAAACAAAACTGTATTGTTGGTCTCCTACCCAATCTGGCAGTTGAAATTACATTCCAAAAATTAATGATAAAACCTCAGTGTGTAAAGACTTATTTGATACCTTGATAGAGCTATAAGTTGTTATCTGAAAATATAAAAGTAGAATATTCCATTTTCCTTTTGAGGTATACTGTCATAGTGTTGAAATTATGAATAAAAATGGAAATGTTTTATCCTGACCCGGTACAATTTCTATTTAATACATTTGTTTTAAGAGTACAACCAGGACGGGTTCGGTGTCTCAGCCTGTAATCCTAGCACTTTGGGAGGCGGAGGCAAGTAGATTGCCTGAGTCCATGGGTTCGAGGCCAGCCCGGGCAACTTGGTGAGACCTCATCTCTACAATAAATAAAAAAAAATTAGCTGGGTGTGGTAGCTTGTGCCTGTAGTTCCAGCTACTTAGAAGGCTGAGGTGGAAGGATCGCTGGAGCCCAGCAGATGGACACTGGAGTGGCTGTGAGCATGCCACTGCACTCCAGCCTGGGCGGCAGAGTGAGACTCCAACTCAAAAAAAAAAAAAAAGAGTACAACCAGGTTGCTATGCTTGCTGTACCCTGTACATAAAACTTTGTTTTATGAAATCTGTAACTTTGCTTCCCGGTCTTTCCTGAATCCAAATTCTATCCATGTTTTAGTGCCCGGCTGAAATCCCATCTCTTCTTCTCACTATAACCATTGATCTCTCCTTACTAAGACTCATGGTAGTTATTATAATTAGTTAACTTCTGCGGAATTTATCATGTGCTGTCTGGATATATCTCTTGTATTTTTGTTCTATAACTTTATCAATATTACCTGTTTATCTTTCATGCTTCTCCACTAGGTCTCCACATAATTGTCTAGATCTTTGAGCATGCTTTTTATATTTTGTCATTGCATGTCAATCCTTAATAAGCAGATATGAGCCACTTTTTACAGCAGTACAAAGCAGGGAGTCAGGAAATGATAGTAGAATTTAATCCCCTGGAAGGAGACCAAAGCAAAAAGACCAGGCCTTAGTCTAGAGATACCTAAATAAAGGGACATGAAGAATAGGGATGAAACTTATTCTGGTATCAAACTGGAGCATAAGAGAACAAGTAGACTAAGGAAGATCAGTTCATAGAACTTGATGGGCTGTGGGTAGAGTATAGGCAAAAGTGACTTGATGCTGATTTGTCTAATGTTGGGTTGGAAGGACCTGAACATCTCTTTCCAAAGGTTAGACTTAGTTGTGGGCTGTGCTGATGGGAAGTAAAGGAGAGTGATTAGACCCAGCAGAGGAAAGAAAACAAAAAAAGATGCCGGAGATGGAGGGGAGGAGAGCTACATGGCCACAAAAGGAGGATTCCAAATGTGGAGGAGACATTTACAGAATAGCAATCTTGGCAGAGCCCAGCATTTCACATTGAAGATATGCAAATATTTATGGATTGATTGCTTGTTGAAGTCCATCAAAAATCTTATTCCTTAACATGCAAGATATTTGGTATTGTGAGTTTTGCAATTGTTTAGAAACAGCCAACTCTGATCAACTGAAGCTTTAAGAAAAAAAAATATATATATATATTTATATATATACATGTATATGTTTTTGATGTTCTGACTTAAGTATATTTGCAGTCTTAGTGAAGACCAATAAATGTTATCCTGTCTTTTCTGAACCTCTTCTGTACTGATGCCAGAGTCATTTCTATGTAGTGTTTTAG